CAACCATCTGTAATGAGATCTGCTGTATTCTTCTGACCTGCAAGCATACACGCAGACAGAGTACTGTATACCTAATAAATAAATAAAACATATATATATATATATATATATATATATATATGTAATGCTTTCTGTGTCAATATATAGTCCATGGTATGATTTTAATCAGATGCATAACACTCCACTGTATGGCTGTGCAGTGATTTAATTAACCAACTTCTGAATATTCATGCCATTTTTTCATATAATGCTGTGGTTCATACTCTTATATGGAAGGATTTTTTTTTTGCATAGTTTTGACAATTACCATAAGACACATGGCATTATACATGGAACCAATAAGTCAGAGGTTATTTATATTTTTTATGCTCCAGATACACATTAGCAATTCAGTCTCTAGAAAGACTGTAGCAATAGCAATGCATTTATATTGTAGAAATGCAGTAAAGTCTTGGGTTAAGATCATGTGCTCAGAAGTCCTGTCCCATCACTGTCCCTTTGAGCCATAAGTACTGTGCCCTCTCGGCTTCACTTCTTCAAGTCCTCATTGTTTATGTTTCCCGACAGGTTCTGACTTAGTGATTTTAACCGTGCAAAGCTCTTATGCTCCTTTGCCATCTCAATTGCAGGGTCAACTTGAACTTCCTACTGTTTCCCTCAGATTTCCCGGGTTCCTCGTGGCCACCTTTATTTACTCAAGCAAACACTTCCATATTCTCATCCATATGGGTAGGAGAGATCATATGCCCAGAATAAAGAAATATTTGGTAAAGAAAGGATAATGCTTTAGAAGTGATGGGTAAACAAATTCATTTTTCTGGCAAGCAGCCTAAGGAAGGTTTGTTTTTCTCACCCCTAGACTGCAGAGCTCTCCAGTCTCGCTGAATGTTCCTTTCCTATCACTCTCTGTGATGTGAGGCACCCCTCAGCTACCTGGAATTTATGGGAGAGATTAGATAAGGGTTTCATTTGCTCCAGAACAGGGGGAGATGAGTATACCTACTGTTCTACACTGACTCGGACTACCATTGTCTACCCAGTGCTGTGTACCCTTCCTTGACCAAGCAAAGTGGGTTCAGCCATTCCAGAATAGCTGGGGCTACTAGCCCATAGGTTATATCCAGGAAGCCTCCCTCAGCCTGGCTGACTTTTCTTCCTGCAGGCTGGTGTTGTCTGAATTCTGATGCTATCCTTAGGGAGGGGAAGAAAGCCATTCTGTTCTTTCGAAAGATAACTTTGATGGATGTGTTTGTTATTGTGTGGCCTCCGGCAAACCAGGCTCTTCATTCGAGGCTGTTAATCTTTCTAAGCCTTATCTGATAAGCGCAGATGATAACAGTACCTACCTCATTGGGTTATTTTAAAAGTACATAAAATAATTCACGGGACAGTGCTGAAGGGAGTACTGACACACAGTGAACAGCCAATAAATGTTATCTTCATTGCCATCATTGAAGATTTGTTTTTAAAGGGTCTAAAGCTATTCTTGATTTCTCTGTAGTCTTTTTGGAGCTTTTTCAAATACTGCCCTCTGAACACTACTTGGACACATATCTCATCTTTATTCCTGTCTTTAGTAGACTGAGTTCTTCAAGGATAGTGACTGAGTTCACTTTTACATCCCCAATAGTCTGCAATGTACATAGGAGGCACTAACAAATATCTGTGGGAAGGGTACACTGGATGAATGATTTGTGCTTGTATTTTTGTTGTAGTCTGCTTATTTTGCATCTGGAATTCTTTTTTTAATTTTTAAATAATTTAAACAAATTTTAAGATTGTAACATAATTATACAATTTCCCCTTCCCTTTATCCCCTCCAAAACTTCCCATATATACCCGCTGTATAAACTAAGGGTTTTGGCAACAGGTGTATGAACTGACAACACCATCGCTCCATAGTATGGTTAAGAGGAACATTTTATTGTGGATATGAGGGAGAGAACAGCCAGGGGCATCTGGAAGACTCAGAGCAGGGAGAGAAAATAGTAGACTAAACAAGGCCAGCAGACTGGACTGGGCCAGGAGAGGGGAGAAAGAGAGGAGGGAGTGAGCGAGGAAGACAGAGAGAGAACAGGTCCAAGAAAGAGGGACAGAAAGAAAGTGGCCTAGCAGAAATAGCAGGGTTATAAGGACAATGAGATGCTGGGAGTAGGGAAATCCATGAGCTGGAGAAATTAGGGGGTGGGGTGAGAAGAGCCAGGATGCCAAGACTGACCCTGAAATGTGTGGCAGCCCGGGGGCTGGCATGTGCTTTGGAAAGCTAACGCGTACCACTGATAGCCATTTGTCCCTTCTGCCAGGGATAGGGAAAAGGCTCCTTTCGTAGAGAACTGGCTTTTTAAATTTCTAAGGAATGCTGGCTTTTGTCTAAGTGTCAGAATTTGGACCTGACATCACCCTTCAAATCCCTGGTCTCTTTTCCTTTAATTGTTACTGATGGTGGTGGTGGTGTGTGTTTCTAACTACTAAATATTAAATAAGTATACCCTGCTCAGTCTGTGTAGTGTGACTTATGTGTTTGTTTTCAGGGCTGACCCTCTGTAATAGAGTCAATTGCTCGCCCCTCTCCACTCTTAACATTTCTTAGTGGTCTACAGTTATTTGTCTAGGGTTGAGGACCCCTAAGCTTAACTCCCTTCCATTAATATGTCTATTGGCATTGTCCTTGTTCAGATCATGTGTGGGCTGGGATTCTTAAAAACCTATCTGTGTCCTATATTAAACTAAAGGAGAAAAATCGCATGGCCTAACATCATATTATTAAAAAGGTAATAAAATGAAGGATAAGATAGCACAATGGTGTGGTTAGCAAATCCCAAACAATATACATGTAGCATATTAAAATTAATAATTGATATAGGAAGATTGATGGACACAAGTTTGTTATGTAAAACTCAATTCTGTTTCTACATACTGTTACTTCCACGGATCAAGATCAAGACCACTACCACAGTTTAAAGCCAAATTTGAAGCAAGCTTTAATTAAATACTGGTCAGGTTTATGGGCTGTGTCCATGTCCATACCCAAGTTCCTGGGAAATGGCCCAGAATCACAGTTTGCAGCAGCTTAACAAGGTAAACCCATAATTCATTGCATTTCCCCTCAGGTCCAATCAGGGGCAAGCATGCATCCTGATGTACCTCTAGCCTACATCCAATCAGGGGCAAGTGTGCATCCTGACATATTTTCTGCCTATGAACCTCCCAGCCATATGTGATCAAACATATCCAGTACAGATGGGTCAAAAAAACTTATTTAGGGGAGTGAAAAACGTGTGGTTTGTCATCTCCCATGAACAGCCTCCAGTACTACTAACACAAGGCTCCTGGAATTGTTAAAACTGGAACAAAACAAAGCAAACAAAACCCAGAAAGTACTGAATGGTGATTTGCAAAGCAGCTGAACGTTCATGCACTTGTTAATTGGTAAAGCCACTTTGAGAAGCCTTTTGGACACATCCACTGACATGCCTGTGACCCAATTATTCTGTTATAGTCATGGACACAAGGAATTCATTCATGTGCATGTGAAGTATGTACAAGAATGCTCCTAAGTACATTACTTGTGATTAAGCTGGAAAAAAAAAAAAAAAAAAAAAAAAAAAAGGGCCAGTGTTCTAGAGAGCAGAATGAATCAGCGATGTCACACTCAGACAGGGGAACACAATGCCATTGTGTAACAAAGCCAAAGCAACTCACTTCCTATCAGTTTTTAATGAAACATCCTAGTGTTTGTTGGTAGAAGCCTGGGTACTGGTTTAGGAGAGAGGAAGTGGTCATAAAGTGACTATTACGCAGACTTTCTATATGCATATTCACTTTTATAACCAACATAGAAAATTATTTTCTCAAAAATGTATCAAACATAAAATTAGCTTTGTAAATTGACTTCCAGGTTTAAAATGTTCAGTACATAGCTCTTAATGCTTAAGAACATGTGGCTCTTAACTCCTAATGAATACTTACGATACCGGATCACCATTGTTCTCTTATTGTTCTGCCTATGGTGACAGGATGGCAGGTTGGCCTTTCTCACTGGGACAAAGGTCATATTGACTTGCCAGGGCCCTTTCAGCTTCAGTAGCTCCTCTCTGGTCACTCAGATATGCAAGTGGCCCTCAGATGCTTTGTGTTGATAGAAGACTTTACTAGCTGACCTCTGTCAGAGCTCAGACTTCTTCTGGATCCTCTCGTTTATTTTTTCCTTTCTCAGTTTCTGTTTTTAAAATTTTGTTATGGTGTTTTACAACATTCATAACAACTTAACAAAATAAAAAAAAAATATATGTACTATGGTGCTAGAAAAACAGCTCAGTTGCTAAGAGCACTGTTATTCCCGAAGACCGAAGTTCAGGTCCCAGCACCATGTCAGAAGTCTCACAACTTCCTATAACTCCAGCTCCTGGATGTGACAGCCACACCCACATACACATCCCCATACCCCCACACAGAGACATACACATAATTTAAAATAATAAAGACAATTATTAAATTGTATAGTACTAAAAGTTAAAGTGCACAAGACACATTTCCTTGTAGGTTCAAACATTCTTACCAGTGGGTGTACCAAATCAAAGATAACTACTGATTCCTGGCTTAATTAAATGCCTCAATTACCCAGAATCCACTGCAGAATACTTGTCTGGTGCCGTATTGTGCCTGTTTCCCTGTGGTTACAGGAATCAGTATGGTCAGATCGGTTTGCTAGTTTGTCTGATTTATTCAACAAATAAATCCTGTTTGAATTCAATTTTCTTGTGCTGCTCACTGTGAAATAATCAAAAGGAGAGTGGGTGTTTCTATTAAAAGATTAGATGTAACGGACTCCATGGCATTCTGTAATAGAAGTCTAATGTGAGACGATGGTGAGTTCATGGCTAGACTGGATAGCAGTGTCATATCCTGTCTCAAAAAAATGTTAGAGAACAGTATACAGAAATAACTTTTCCACAGGTGGTTAATATTTAATGATAACTAACTACTTTTTTCTATCCTAGGCTGACCAGATATCTGGTTTTCACATAAGATCTGTTCTCTGTGTCCCTATTTGGAACAGCAACCACCAAATAATTGGTAAGAGGTTACCCACTTGATTCTTTGTGAAGCGACAAACACCTTTAAAAAAGAAAAGAACAGTGTTCTCCATTCTGTGTGTGTGTGTGTGTGTGTGTGTGTGTGTGTGTGTTGCCTTTGACTGCTAGATGGCCTGTGGTTTATAATAATCCTCCTTCCTCTAACTCCCAAATACCTGGATTTACAGGCATATATCACCAGACCCAGTGTCATCCAAATTTTTATGTCCTAATTTACCCATAACCCATGGATGTGTCCATATTCTTCTACAATTCCATAAGCACAGACTAAAAAATGGGCATCAATTCAAACAGGAGCAAATATCTATTAAGCCCAAAGAACTAGTAAAACCTGAAGGTGGAAGGAGTCTCAGTCACCTACCAATTGAACACTGTTATTTTATATTGCATATGTTGAAGAATAGAGATGGAAGTAGAGAGGGGGAAAGGGAAGGAAGGGGAGAGAGAGAGAAGAGTGGCAAAGTTAGTTAGTAAAAGGATCAAGATTAAATTTGAAGAGTCCTAACTTTCCCATGATGTCTATGTCCATGCCTGAGCTTTCACATCGTGTGGGTGCAAAGTGCTGGACACATATCTTTGCCCGCATGTCTGAATAGACACTTTCTCTACAATAAGAAAACTGTAGGCAAAAGCAACTTCATCTGGAGTCCCAGATGAAGTAAGAGTTTATGGTTAAGCTTAATCAACCATAAAGGAGAGAGGCTTGCTTAAATCTATGAAAATGTGATTTTCTTCTCCTATAAGACATAAGGTGATGGATGTATTTTATTCATATTTTGCTTCTCTCTACCATGCTCTAAGACCCCCAACTAGGCTCAAAGTTTTTTTTGCTACCTAGCCAATCACTTAGTGCCCCTGTGAGGGTTTTCAACACCTGATTTTTTTTTTTTTTTTTTTTTTTTTTTTTTGAGCAGAGCCTTATGCTCCCTGACTAGGACAAACTCTGTATGTGGCTAAGAATGACCTGGAACTTTTGGACTCTTGGTTCTGCACTCTGAGTGCTAAAATTACAGGTGTGCATCACCACACCCAACTTATGTGGCCTTTCTTGCTCACTAGGCAAACACTGTACAACTGAGTTACACCTGCAGCCCAAGTCCTACTGTACTGCTTAACTTACACACATACATTAGTATGTAATTAAGCATAAAGACTATTCTAGGCTCTTAGAATCTGAGCCTGAATACAAAGGGGAATTGACTTACTCCATTCATAAGTTTTAAGTATATCTATATTTAAAGGAGAGAAAATGTCCATAGAAGACAATTGTGTGTCGATTAAATATTGTGTATCGATCACATAGACTCATACATCAATCCTTATGATAAACATCTGCCATCAAAGCCCAGACTATAGTTTTCCTGTTATATGCTAAAGACTTTTCATTTACTTATATGTTGCTGAGAATCCAATTAGTTAGTTCACCAGTGGATGTTAGGCACTTTTAAAAATACAGGACCACTTTAGAATCATTGCTATTTTTTTTTTCCTTTTTGATTTTTCAAGACAGGGTTTCTCTGTGTAACAGCCCTGACCTTCCTGGAACTCTCTTTGAAGACCAGGCTGTCCTTGTACTCACAGAGATCCACCTGTCTCTGCTTCCCAAGTGCTGGGATTAAAGGCGTGTGACACCACTATCCAGGGAGTCATAGCTATTTTTATTTGCTTATTTCTACTAATTGGGGACACAGGCTATGGCTTTCAGGGCTGAGTTTTTCAGTTAGACCGTTATGTTTTGGAAGTCAAATACCAACACATCTGGTATAATCCTGGGAATGTATTTGAAAAGAGGAGGCCCTCGTAAACTGAGTCTACTAGAGGTGTGTAAGCCATTGATAGCAGGAGGCAGAACTAATTTTGCTTTGATCTATGTGTGTCCCATATGTGTTGTATGTCTTGAGCGTGCGTAATGAAAAATTTAAAACTTATTTCACATCTTAATAAATCCTTGGGATGCTTTGTATTTTAATTCTTCTTGTATAGATGAAGAATTTAATCTCTTAAAAAGTACATTTACTCATGGTCACCCAGCTTGTACTGGAACTGAAACTTGAACTAAGGTTCTATCTAAATCCCAGTTTCTTAATCACTGTGCCACACTGTCCCTCCCAAACACTGAAGTGTGTGTGTGTGGGGGGGGTTATATTATACAAAGATAATAGATTGAGTGATATATGTAAAACTGTGTGTATATATTTGAGGATACTTATCAGCTATGTCACACCTCCAGTGTGATATAGTTTAAAATGAGTGTGTTAAGCTACTCATAGAACGAGCTATGGCATACTCTATCACAGTGACACATACCCTCCTGACATGACCACTGTCCTATCCCTCCCTTACCTTAACAGGGGTTGCTCAAGTTCTAAACAGACTCGATGGGAAACCTTTCGATGATGCAGACCAGCGGCTTTTTGAGGTGAGCAAATAAATTTATAAGTCAAGAGCCGGAACAGAATCACCAACAGTTCCCATGCCCACATTTGTAGAATAAACATTATTTATTTTAATATGGTTAAATGGTATACAAGCAAAGAAGGAAATGTAAGGACTATATAAATACATAGACAAGATTCTGTGTTTTTACTCATCAGATTAGTGTGTAACCTTTGATTGTTCTATCTTAGTCTTATTGCAGAATTGAATTGCCTCCACTTCTGTCTGATATTACCATCCTTGTCTTGTTGGTCCAGTCGTGAAACCCTTAGCCAGCCCTGCCTGGTATATGTCCCCGGCGTCCCTTTAGTTCACAAGGCTCTGTTCCTTGTGTCTCCAGCAGAAGAGGTTAGCTTTGATGTGCTTTCTCATGGACTGTGCCAGAATCACCCACCAAAAAATAGCATATCATTGTTCTTTCTCATTGTAGCTGGTTCCAAGTCAGTCTCATTGCCCTTAGCTCTTAGCTCATGGTTTCTCTTCCTTACTTTCTTGGCCAAAATACTTTATAGCCTTGCTATTGAAAGGGGCTGCTTATAGTTAAATAAAATAGAATAATTAAAATCAGTCTACTGCCCAAATAAATTAAGACCACGTTTAAACACACTGTATGCTTTCAAATGTGTGAAGTTATTTCTTCACAATGTCATTAAAGTAATGACTTTTTTCCTCGTGTGCAATGTGAGCTATAAAGTTCTTACATGACAATAGTAATTAAGAATTTTAATGCACATCTCCCCAAGGCCTATCTCTGAGCACAATAAAATTATATTTTCAGAACTGTCTCTGGTGACCTCCTGCTTTCATATTAGACTATGGCTGTGAGTTATTACAGTTTCTAATTAACGGGCTCTCTGTGTCCTAGGCTTTTGTCATCTTTTGTGGCCTCGGTATCAACAACACAATTATGTATGATCAAGTGAAGAAGTCCTGGGCCAAGCAGTCCGTGGCTCTTGATGTAAGTATAGTATTACGTCAGCATGCTAGGCCAAAAGCCTGGACTTTGTGAAGATTTGTCCTATTCATGGGTTCATGGACCTTAATTTTTAAGTCCTAAAGACTCTCCTCGCTGGGTCTTAATTATTTTATGGTCTTGGACTCTACTGGGTAACAACTGGAGCTCCTCTCTTGAAAACTATGCAGTGCTGCCTATAACTCTGAGGAGTTTCGGGATTCCTAGGAGCCCATCCATACACATCCCAACATTAGATATAGACTTTCTAATACTTAATTTCTTAAATAGAGATAAGTCAAAATAAATTGTCACTGCTATAACCCCAACATTTGGGAGGCAGACACAAGAGGATGAGTTGGAGGGTAGTCTGGGCTACATAGCCAGACTCTGTCTCCAACAAACAAGCAAAAATTATGTCAGAACTTAAAATAGATTATGAACCTGAACTGTTTGTATGTAAGTGTGTGTGCATGTGAGTGTGTGTGTGTGTGTGTGTGTGTGTGTGTGTGTATCTGCCCAGGTTCCAAGGAACAATTCTCCCCTCCTATGAATCTTGGAGGCTTATTCTGACACAAGACCTATTTTTTCTCTATAGATGATACCAAAAAATGTTACTTTTTTTTCTAAGAAAAACTTCAGAAATAGGGAAGATAAAATATCAGTGCCAAAATACCAGTGATATAACAGTATGATAGAATTCGTGTTCACTCTTCAAAACATTCTGAATACTAAGCTAAGTGCTGAGAGAAAGCGAAAACTCAGAGGACATTGTGATGCTTACATATTAAAAGACATAAAATTATTGGCATCTAATTGATGTGCATATTTTCCTCTTCCTGTTTAGACCATGAGTTCTGGAACCACACAGTTTCATGATTTATTTTTAGTGCCTGGCAGAATCCTTAGCACAAAGGAAAGATTTGTGGAATAGATATTAGGTGGAGGGACGGGGAAAGGAAAGATGGTAGACAGAAAATATTGAGGTTGGGGTAGTTCTCCCAAGGAAGAATTTCTTTGTTTATGTGAAACATGGTGATAATGAGGACTAAAGACAGTGTCTTTAACCAATAGGTGAACTGAAAACATATAGCCAATATATAAGAATCAGTACTAAACTAGACAGCACTCAGCAGGCAGAGACAAGAGGATTTCTGTGAAATTGAGGCCAGTCTGGTGTACGTAGTGAATTCCAAGTCATTCAGGGCTACATAGTTAGATCATGTCCCAGAAAGGAAGGGAGGAAGGATGGATGGAAGGAAGGGAGAAGGAGAAAGAGAAGGAATAAGAAAGAGAGGGAGGGAAAGAGGGAGGGAGCGAGAGATGAAGGAAGGGAGAGAGGAAGGAAGGAAAGAAGGAAGGAGGAAAGGAAGGAAGGAATCATTGCTCCTGAGCTAAGGAGATAGTTCCGGTGGACAGTGCACTAGTCTTATAAGTGTGAGGACCAATGTGTGGACCCAGAACCCACATGAAACCTGGACAGCTGCATGGGTTTTGCAGCTGCCTGTAATTCTACTTCTCAAGAAGCATAGATGGGTGTCTCTTGGGCAACACTGCTGACTAGCCCAATTGGAACTCTTGAGTACCAGATTCAGTAACAATGGGCCTCCATGTGCATACAAGTACATGCACACGCGAACACGTGCATACACACACACACACACACACACACACACACACACACAAGCTACACTGCACACTCATGCAACAAGCATACACAGCATGCACACTAGCACACAAAATCACTACCATAGCAGGAAGGTCTGTGTGCCGAACTGTTTACATATTGTGACTCAGTGGTGAGAATTAAGTGAGATAATATCTGTGAAGGTTTTAATGAGCTGTCAGTAACATTGTCCGACAACAGTAATCACTATGCTCATATATGCGGTAGTGTGTTTAGTACTGAGATGCAATTGGGAGAAGGGACAAAGGACCTGAATATGAAACAGCAAATGTTGAGGATGTTTCCTTAAGTCTCATCAAACTCTGTCTCCAGTTACCGCACCACTTGCAGCTGCCTAAAGACAAACACAGCAACACAACAAAGAACACTGCACGTGTCTAGTCCCAGCTAGACCTCCTCATGCTGTGGCATCCCTAACACAGAGAGAAAACATCCATGCACCCCTGCATTCTCATGCTCATCACCTCGTAGTGCGTTTTCATCCTGTTAAGGAACTAGAATGACTGGGTTGAAGCACAAAGGGCCACTTGTCCCCAGAAAAGAGTCTCATAGCCATCTTCTCCAAGCATCCTTCTAGCTTCGGGGCCAGTCCCTAGCCACAGTCTCTGAAGGTGGAGGCTTATTTGTGTTCCTAGCAAATATCTTCATGCTGGAGCCACTCACTTACCTCCTGTCCTTACATATAAATTATGACTGACACTACCTGAGTTCTGGCTCTGCCCAGATTATGACAATCTCACCCTTTCAGGAAGCTGACTGCTGCTGTTGATGGTTTTTGTTCTGTGGGCTTGCTGTCATGCCAGTCACAGGTAGCATTCTCTACTAGATCCTGCTATTGCCACCTTGGTGTCCCTCAGACCCTTAGCCAAACTTCATGTCACTGGGAGGCAAATCTTGGTGATTGTGACCAGTTGGCCCCATCTTATGCTCTGGCTAAGAATCCATTGAAGAGTTCTTATCTTCGTCATCTTACAAAGGCAAAATGTGATTTGTTGAGAGCTACTCACAAACTCAGTTGTGACATTTTCATATACAATGATGTGTTAACTTCTGAGTGGATGTATATTAAATTTTTGTGCTTATAAATATCATGCATGGATGTAAACAAATATTTTTGTAAATATTTTCATTAAAATATACATATATATTTATAATATTAGAAACTTAGTTCTATAAAGGGTATGAGCTACTGTATAATACTATACATGGTCTAGCAAAACATTACGCAGTAAAATAATAATAGCCAAGGTACAGAAAGAAAGCCAGAGGGAACAGAACCAAATATAGGGTTATCCTTAGTTTTAATCCTTCCTGCCTTACGCCCTAGGCTGGTCCTTCCTCATTTTCCATTACAGCCAAGGAAAGATTTCCCACTTGGGCTGGCCAGAATCATCCCCCTTTTTTTGTTTGTTTTTACTTTTTTTGTTTGTTTGTTTGTTTTCTGAGACAGGGTTTCTCTATGTAACAGCTTTGAATGTCATGGAACTCATTCTGTAGACCGGGCTGGCTTCAAATTCAGAGATCTGCCTGTCTCTGCCTCCCGAGTACTGGGATGAAAGACATGCACCACCACACCTAGCCTTTTCAAGATTTATTTATATTTTATGTGTATTGGTGTTTTGCCTGTATGTATGTCTATGTGAGAGTGTCAGGCCCCCTGCAACTGGAGTTACAGGCAGCTGTGAGCTGCCACATGGGTGCTGAGAATTGAGCCCGGGTCCTCGGAAAGAACAACCAGTGCTTTTAGCCACTGAGCCATCTCTCAGCCCTTGAAACATCTCATTTTTAACAGAGTCCTTGATTCTACTTGAATTTTCCCATGAAGGCAATATATTTAGTTCTTTTATGTCGTTGTCTCCTAGTTTTCATTAATAACAACAGTGACAGAAAGGAAGCCAGCCATCCTCAGCCCCAGAGCAGTAACCCCCCTGGACACCTTTCTCACCAGGAAGGGAGCACACGTGGTTCTGGGCCTAGGGTGCACTTAGGGGTGTATTTCTTCTGAAGTTGAGAAGACAGAACAACTCTGTTCTGTCTTTCAAGCATCTATTCCCCCAAGGGAAAAAAGAAAAATAAAATGCGTATCTCTGAAGTGTTTCCCAGTCAACCCTTACAAGTGGTGTGGATGCCACCTCCAAAACACCCTAAAGGACTGGCTTTCCCCTCTCCCTTCTTCCCTCCATCCCTCCTTCCTTTCTTCTTTCTTAACAGAATGCATGGCTTTAACTAATTCCACCCTCCTCAAAAAGCAACTGATTTATGTGCATTTCAATTATTTAATGTCAGCTACTTTTCTTGTTGATTTAAAACATACCAAATTATACATATGTACATACATTTAAATATATTTCTCTTTTGATTTTTCATGCCTTTAAATATATTTCTTTATATATTACTTTGTTCCACTGATCTGGAAAACATCCTCCCAGACTTCATTGCTTTAAGGGTACTTTGAATATCTGGCTTGCTTTGCACTAGGGTCTCCCGTAGAAGGAAGCCAATGGCCTCAGCCAAGCCAGAAGCAGGCTAGGTGGAAGACAGCCAGCGCTCATGTTTGCACACATCTGGTTCTAATTTGGATTGAGTCTTGATTCTATAGCTGTTGACTTTGGACATTCCACATAAGTCTTTAGTTACTTCATATGGCAAATGAGCATAAGAAAGTATTGTAACAGCTAAGTAAAACTACATAGAGACAGTGTTTAGTGGCTGTATTCAGTTAAAATTGACATACTTGGTCCTCTCTATCCATTGCCTGCACATCTGTGGATTCAACTGTGGGTGAGAAAGATCTTAAAACATTGTAACTGCGGTAAATACATACAAACTTTTCCCCCTTGCCATTCTTTCCTAAATAATATAGAACCAAAGCTGTCTACTAGCTTTTACACTATGCCACCTAGGGTAAGTGACGTGGAGATGACTCAGTCTATGTGAGGGTACATAGCTTATACACAAGTACTGAGCCATAGTAGAAAAGGTCCTGGTTGAAGTAGCTGAGGATTTGGTCTGAGGGAGGTGGTTGTGAATCCATACCCTCTTAGAGCTACAGAAGGGAACCTTAGCAAAAGTTAGCTGTTTGTACTGACCAGTGCGCTACTGTCTGGATCTCCATTGAATTCTGTCTGCTCACCCTTAGATTATTTTAAGGCTGTGTTGGCTGGGGGCCATATTCCTTCCCTTTACTCTTAGACTCAGGCTCTGAGAGTTACTTCACTGTGCGACCCACACCATTGCAAGTGAGATTGTCCCAGAGCTCTTCCGCTTCTTCCGGGCATGCCCAGTGCCTGCCACCTGTGTCGCCATGCAGAAAGCTACA